GATGGGTGGACACAAGATCTTATGATCGCACCATAAATAGAATCCCGACAATGGCCGCTGTGTCCGAAATTAGACGGAAGTGACCGAACCCATAACAAACATGGTCTGAACTTAAAAGATGGGGTTTGTTTATCCCTTTAGAGGGAGCCATGTAATTAACGCTCCTATTTTACCTGAAAAGTTCCAGTAGAAGTCGTGAACTGCGTTCTGAATAAAGAGAGATTATACTATGAACACGCCAATCTTGGCCCAGTCGTTAAGTTGGAGTGACACTTATACAGTGGCACCGATTCAAAACGCCATTTAACGCATTAAATAGTCAAATTGAATATGTATATATATTACTTTTTTTTTACTTATCGATCTTTAAATACTATAATTAAAGAGAGTTATTGTAATCGGATAATAGGTCACTAAACTACAATAGCTTCTGTTTATTCTTTTTATTGAATACGTTTCCATCTCTGTTTTCTTAAATAAATATAAAAGTTATTGTTGTGGCTGTCAGTGGTCAGCCCGGCTTGCTTTGTCGATGCTCAATTTAAAATAAAGCTAAAGAGAATCCCTTTATTTATTTAGTACAAGAGGGATCGAAATATATTGAACTAACACGTATTTCAGTTTATCAAAATATAGTTTAGTGACCTATTATCCGATTATAATAACTGTCTTAAATTATATATTTATAATATGAATACGATGTCATATCTTATAATTTACATAAATGTTTAATATTGCCAAGAGGGAAAGATATGGTTGATTTAGCTTGTGCGGCTTCTCGATGAATTACAGCATTAGTTAAAGAGGATATTTTATTATTTTTTGCTTCCTCACTACCGAAGGTAGGGAAGCTTTGTATTCGTGCTGGAGTTTAAAAAAAGTTATGTGCTCAGAATCGAAATATTCCACTCGCGTTTTACGTTTTAGACATCAAATATAAAATTTGGGTAAGCGTCTGTCCGTTTGTCTGTAGTCGTTGTAACTGGCATATCACCTACTACCGTTTATCTGATTTTCAGGGAATATGCGGATTGGTGTCAAAATGGTTCCATGTTTATTTCATTACATTCAATCCATCTCTTCCGCTTTAGTACGCTCAAATGTATTTCCTTATTTGAGTCAGAGTCAATATTTCCGAAACGGCTCGTTCGGTTTGACTCGAAGTTGGAAGGAAGATAGACGTTAGCAAACAAATAATACTGTATCAAAGTGTCAAAATTCCCTAGTATCAATTTCATGGAATTCTATTCAACAAATAAAATTAATATAAGTAACTTTTAAAAATATAATCGTTATCAAATGTGGAAGGGATTAAAAACCGATTAATTTAAATCGGTTATTTTGTTACTACTGGTATGACACCTACTGTCGTTACAAAACAATTCATATAATTTTCAGTGATTGTGGGGGTTGCAACTTAGATGGTCCAATATAGATTTTGACGAATCCTTTCACCAGCTTTCGCTTAGCTATGCAATTTTTCTTTCCTATGTATACCATATATTTGCAAATTTAAATTAAATTTTGCACAGACTGTAAAAAATAACGCCATATTTGTGTTTCTTTGTTCCTTTTGAAGTTCAACCAACTGGGTCTGGTCTCGTTTTCCCTCTCAAACTTTGAAGTGGTAATGGGCTTTATCCCAAATCTTTTTTTAACTAATTATAATTGAAGGGTAGGATGTAAGCATCGATAAGTTTTAAATATGTATAGGCCTTCATTTTCTGTATTTTGTTGGTGAATTTGGTGAGGAAGCTATACTGACCTTACTTAGAAGACTATTTTTTTTAGATCTACTTTTGACATAACTACTTCGTAAAATAATAAAGCTTTGTTTAACCATTGATAAAGAAATCTTTAATTCATAATATTCTCAATAATACATTTTTACCTATTTGGAGTTCTGATTATTTCTCTCATTCGACATAATAACATAAATACCTGGTATCCACCCTTTAAATTTTAATGAATTATGAAAGAGGATACCAGCAATTAAAACAATCTTGATAATTTATCCTATGGCCGCTCCGGAAGTCATGCTTGAGATTCTCTAATCGTTTCTACCTTGATTTTGCTATTGGGCTCCTGAAAACTGGGCATCTACTTATTTCGTATGATTTAATACCGTTGCTTGTTTGTTCAGTATTTTTATCAGTTTTTGAGTATTTTATTGAGTCTATGTGTGTTTACGTTATTCAGTAAAGTGTTTAATTTGTCTCAATTCATTTAAGACACCTAGTTCTAATCATATTGTTTTTTATGTACCTTTAAGGCCATATTTTAAAATTTAAGAAAAATTCAAGTTGCTTCTGATTAAATATGTCGTCGAGAAATCGGAAATACGTCCGGGTTAGGTGAAATTGCTACTAAACACACAGGATTTTTAGTCTGATTTTAAATATTTATATGTATCTACCGATTATTCCACACGTTATAAATTACGTGCCTGTCCTATTATTACTCCTCTCATATTTAGATATTTTTAAAAGGATTATAAATCAACATATGCCGATTAAATGTTGTCGCCACTACTGTTCTTTAAAACCTATTTTTGGGTTTGTCCAGGCATTTTTTTTTTTACTCTTCCACGTTTTCATGCCTGCGGTTTCGTGGCGTGTGTCATTCTGCCAGCCGCATACAATATGTCCGGAAATCACTAATGTAAGTTTAAGATACTTGTTTGGCTTTCGTTCTAATCCGAAGGTTTTGGCTCGTTACGCAGATGTGATATCCTATTTTATGTAGCAGAGTAGAATCATCATCAATTGAGTAAAAAAAGTCAAAAACCATACAACATATGTCCACAAAACACGACATGTTTGTGTCTCCTAATAACTAAGTCAATAAAGTCCTTATGTTTGACGTGACTTATTATTCTTTTTTATTTGTTGTAATAGTATAAGTAGAGGCCAATGATTGTTCAAATTCTTTATTAAAAGTACTAATATTTATATTGTTTTATTATGATGTAGTTTTTTTTTTTCTTATCATCTACATTTTACCAAGTTTCTTAGATTTTGTAAAGCATGTTTTATTTTTTATTAAGAATACCATTAACTCTTGTACTACTTTTTATTTAAATATTTGTCAAAGCTATTACATAGTCTATTACCTTCTGACAATCCTTTAGTTTTCCTATTGCTATCACTTTTTCTTTCTTTCTTTTTCTTTTTTATAAGTGTTTGGAAATTCGGCATAATCTTGGTACGGGATCATAGACTCATATACGTTACTGATCTATTGTCATTTAGCAAGGATTGCTACATAAGCCTATTTGTTTCTCATTAAATGAAAACCTGCATGTGGATGTAGTTCAACAAAACTTCACACAGTTGTTGAAACTCGATTTGTGTGGTCATAATTCATGACCAGGTTTGTAGGTTATGATGAGATGAATAGCTTCAGCAATACAATGCATTGCAGTCCCATCAGCTATTCGTAATGACTTTCAAACCCGAGACTAATCAATGTGTTATAATCCTTATAGCCTGTGGTTTAGAACTCTATTCATCAAATTATTAAGATCCGCTTGAAACTTCGCAAATAGCTTTATCTCATCGTAACCTACGAATATTTTAATTTCGGAAACTCTTGGAATTGGGGCATTTTCATTCTCGAGGTCGTCAAAATTTGTCTGTTTAATTAGATACTAAAAAATCGTGTATACCCATTTGGATCGATCAAAAATTGAGAACGACTGATGGGGTACAAAAATATTGGGACATTCGACATATATAACCTCATCATTTTGACATTATGTGAGTGCAGGTCACGCCAAACAGCTCAATATTTTTGAAGTCCTATTTTTTCGATTTTTTCCCTCAAATTATCATACGATTCTAGCGAAAATCAAATGGGTATTTTTGAGTTTTTAGCACCTAATATTTAATTAAATATACAAATTTTGCTAGTTTCCAGATTAAAAACGCCCAAATTCCGAAAAGTTTCGGAAATAAAATATTTGTAGGTTATGATGAGAAGAAGCTATTTGCAAAGTTTCAAGCGGATTTTAATAATTTGATAAAAAGGGATCTATACCACGGATTATAAGAATTGTAACACGTTGAATTGGCCTCGGATTTGAAAATCTATATGAATTGTTGATGGGGCCGCAATATATTATATATTTTTAATAAATGTACTTAAATAGTACAAAACAAACATCTTCTGATTGGTTGAATATTTCAATTAATGTATGATTGGTGGCATTTTCCTTAGGAAATAATAAAATGAAAAAAATACTTATTATGTCTTGTGTTGCAACAATTGACGTATGATGGAAGTAATTAAGAGAAGAATAGTTGGGGTGGTCAGTCAAAAAGGAAGGCAAAAATAAATGATAATATTTATTTCTACATATGCCGACGTTTCGACCTGAAGTTCAGGCCTTCATCAGGGCTAAGAAAATTACCAGATAACAAGGTATGAGGATAACAAGGTACCATAATAACCAGATAACAAGGTACCACACTTTGTAACGGTTATTATTATTTATCTCTTAGTTCTCAGTCATTATTCTAACAATTTAATTTTACTTTATATTTATTTATTTTATTTTTTATTTTTATTTTTTTACCATCACTACTTATGTTCCTCATACCTTGTTATCTGGTTATTTTCTTAACCCTGATGAAGTCCTGAACTTCAGCTCGAAACGTCGGCATTTGTAAAAATAAAGATTATCATTTATTTTTGCCTTTCTTTTTGACTGACCACCCCAACGATTCTTCTCTTCATTATCCACGACAGTCAACCAATTACCAATTATGATGGAAGTAATTATTGATTAATTCTCCTTGTTCCTCTCAGTTGTATTCTTACTATTTTTACTAACAGCCAAATCTACTGATCTTGCCTTTCATCTTCATTTCTCCACTTGAGATATTGAGTGTTATTACCCTTTCTGAAAGTTTTATCATTACTGCTATATCTGATACGTGTAACAGTAGGAGGCGATGATATTCTACGTCGGAGGATAGATAGACCCCTGGAGGATAGTCTTCCATATTTAGCCTAGACAACTGTCGGCCCTCGAGATCTCCCCAGATGACGCCCCATCTGCCTCGCTATGTTTAGCCTCCTCCCCCACTTAGAGCAGATATCCTCAAAGGTGACCTCAATCAAGGATGGTCTTGCCAGATGGTTGTCCCGTGCTCCTTTGTCTGCCAGAGGATCTTGGCTGGTGTTCCAGATAGTGAAAAGGGAAACGAGATTAGCATCGTAAGGAAAGTGATGAAGGGTTTTAATAGTCACATCTACCATTTTGCAGTAGATTAACTTTTAGATATTCTCATGTCAGGAATGGCCACCCTCGTTTACTTTTCTGTTATTTTATAATTACATAAAATTATAAAAATGTGTTATTTTCATGATTTGAAATTAATTGAGCTCTGTAAGAAGATTATGAATTGTTTTATATGTTTTTTATATATCTTATCTAAATAAATTTAATTATTTTACATTAATCAAATGCTATCTATCTTTTTTAATCGAGCATTATTCTAAAGCTATGGGAATCTATAAGTATGACCTCACACGTTTAAGTTGGTTGCTTGTTTTGATGTTTGAGTGCAAAAATCCAGGTCATCAGCACCCGATCAACTAAATAACGCAATGTAATATATATATATATATATATATATATATATATATATATATATATATATATATATATATATATAGATTTTTTAAAATTAAAACCTCCATTCAAATAGTTCAAGAGTAGCGTTATTTAGTTGATTGGGATTCAGCAGTTCTTTATTGTTCCTTCTCCTTCATGTGTCGAGGTTCTGATCCCAGATACGTCCTGTTATCGTACGGAGAACTTTTCTTTCGAATCTCTCAATTCCAGCTTCTAGTGTACCGGTTAAAGCCCAGGTTTCACAACTATACAGCAGAACTGGCTTAGTCACACCCTTGTATTGTATGCCCTTATTTTTAGATTTCTAGAGATGTTTCTGGATTTAAGTACCCTTGAAAGGGAGAAGAGAGTTCGCACTTGTTATTCGCTGGCCTATCTCTGTCAGTTGATCATTTATTGAGGTTATTGTGGAGACAAGGTATTTGAATCTGTCTACTTTCGGGAATGACTTAAAATCCACGCAGATCGTGATATTAGGGTGGCTTTTTCGGCTGACTATCATATATTTTGTTTTGTCTACATTGACTTGCAGTCCGATTTGCTCCGCTTCTCATAACAGAGTCCGAGCGGGTCTCTCAATATCTTGATTATTTCCGAGGACAGCTATATCATCCACCTATACTAGGATTTTATGTTTCATTCATGCCGACGTGCACTCCACTAACGTCGCGTGATGTTGTTCTTATTACTTTCTCTAGTGCTATGTTGAACAGCACTGGCGACAGTCTATCTCCCTGCCTCAAACCCGTTCGAACTTCAAAGACTTCAGGTACTTCTCCTTGTATTAGTATCCTGCATTTAGAATCGTTTGTACACGTCTTCGTCAACCTTACTAATTTCCCGGGAACACCCAGCTCAGTCATGACCTTCCAGAGACAGTTTCTGTCCACGGAGTCTTAGGCTGCTTTGAAGTTGATGGATAAGGCGTGCACGTCCTGATTTACTTCCCATCGTTTTTCAAGTACTTGTTTTAGGATGAATATCTGGTCTAGCGTACTCCTTCCTCTCCTGAAGCCTGATTGGTGGTCGCCTATTATGTTTTCATAATACAGATATATCAGATTTAACAGAATACTAGTCATGATTTTATAGGCAATCGGAGAAAGTGTTTTGCCTCTGTAATTGCAACATTCGTATATAGAGAGAGCACTTCTTAAGGATAGTATAGATGGATCAATCATGTATTCCAGGCTTCTGGTATCCGTTCCTCCTCCCATATTTTCTGGATTGGATCTAACAGCGTTCCTCTGAGGTGTTCGCCATCCTTGAACAATGCTGATATTAAGTTGTCTGTCCCTAGAGCGTTTATACTTTTAAGACTGCGTATAGCTGGATTCCACACCTGTCCAGAATTTCTCTCACATTTACGTATTTCTCGCTTTATATCCTATATAATATTCTCGCTATATATATATATATATATATATATATATATTTATATTTAGAACTCCTTAACATCTTCATTTGTAATGCTATTCTAACACGCTCCGTTAAAGTTCTTTTTACTGTAGCCGCCTTAAAAGTTTAAAGTATTTCTTTTTTTAATTGTGATAAATCAATTGAGATAAATTCAGTTTTTATACTATATTTATTACAGCCAGGATAATTATACATTTATCTTATTCATTATTCGTCTGTTTATGCTTTTGTTTTTTTTTAACCTTATGCTTGAGTATTTAAAGCCTCTCTCTTAGTTTGGTTAGAATACAACTCATAATGTATATAATAACATTTAAATAATTAGGTAAATTATTTTCTATTTAATGTGTACATACAATATGCATATTTCATTTATGGATACTTTAAAATATCGATGAACCTAACAACAGCCACTAAATGAACAATCATTGTAATAGTAGCTATTTATTACTTACGTTATGATACCATTGATCCTTTCAATCTACTTTATTGCGCTGTTATCATTATTGTTTTAAATATAATGTTTTAATATCATTTCTACAGTTTTTTTAATAATGATACTGAAAATAAAATCCTAAAATCTTTTATTTCCTGTTTGTAAAATGATTAGTATTAAACTTGTCTCGTTTTTCATACCTTTATCGATGATTAGATTGATTATTCTTCAGTTCATGAATTTAAATATTTAAATTAATTTCATATTCACGCTCCTCAGACAAAATCCTATTTACTATACGCACAGACTTCGCAGGGAGTGAAGGGGCATTCGCCCTTCCTTAATATTTCGAAAAACAAAAATAAAATTTATAACAATTAATTTATACAAATGAATAAAATATGTAAACTAAAATCAATTTAGAAAATATGAAAAGTATATTACTACGCCCTATGTCCCTATTGTTGAAATTTTATTTTATATTCAAAGATAATTTACGTTGTAACATATACTAGAATTTTATGATTTATTCATTTGCACCTTTCTATGTTTAATTAAAAATTTTATCACATTTTCCTAGGCAAATTTGAAGCATCGAAGAATTTAGAGTTCATCTCAGTGTCTCAATCCATTAGATAAAAAAAATATCTAATATATTCAATTACTTTATCAAAATAGTTTTAATTACACCTATAATCCATATACAAAAAAATAAAATTATATATTCTATAAACATTAGTACTGTCATCATCATCATCAATCGGCTGTACAAGAAATCACTGGGCCTCCTCAAGCTGCTTTCGGCAGTTAATTCGGTCAATTGCTGCTGTCCTCATACTCTTTTTCATGTAATTCTTCATCGAGGTGTTTCCTAGGGATTTCTTGTGCATCCATCTGGCCACATGACTCGCCATCGAAGCCTAACCATGCTTTATCATTATAACATTTGTTTCCTTTAATAAGGAGTACAGCTCGTTGTTTGTTTGCCTTCTTCATGTTGCGTTCTCTTTTAGTGGACCATAAATATGTTGCAAAATCTTTCTTTCGAATATAGAAAGGTTTAGCTCATCACTTTTAGAAAAAGCCCATGTTTCCGATCCTTATGTGAGTACAGGCCTGATGAGTGTCTTGTACAGTCTTGTTTTGGTTGTTCTGGAAAGTAAACTGCTTCCAAACTGTCGGCGAAGTCCAAAATAGCATCTGTTAGCAGATGATATTCTAATTATTATTTCATCCGAAATATCAATATTTTCGTTTACTTGGGAGCCCAGATTTATAAATTCACTTACACCTTCAAATGTGTAGGACCCAAATTGTATGTTAACTTCATCAGTAGGCTTCATTTTGTTAGCGACCATATATTTAGTCTTCTGAGAGTTCACGACAAAACCCATTTTTTTTTTTTGGCAGATGACTCTAGGGCAAGGTCGTTATCGATGTTCCAATGATGTCTAAATCATCTGCGTAGCCTTCAGCCCCACAAGGATTCGAATTGTGGGATTGAAGATGGTTCCTGTTGTCTGGATTCTTGTCTCTCTGATCGCTTTTTCCAAACATTAGTTAAACAATAGGCTTGCAAGGGAATATCCTTTCCGGACTCCATTAATAGCTGTAAATCCTTGAGAGAGATCGCCTTGAATACACACCATATTTTCAATTTTTTCCATAGTCTGTTTTATCAGGCGTATAAGTTTTGTTCGGATATTTTAGTATTATATCTTTAATTTTACAATAATTATGTTGATCATGTTAATTGCTACTCATTATTTGTATACATAATATAAATTTCTGAGCCTAATTTTTTTTTCGGGGGAGGGAGTTCCATCGCCCTTCTCCCAGTCTGAATGAAAAGTTCGTGCCTATACTATTACAATGCGTCACCTCTTAATTTTAATTTTGATTTTAGTTGATCTTTAAAAAAAAAATAATAACAAAAAAATAACTACTTATTAATTTTAGAAATTATTATAACCCGTGTGAACCAACCGTTAAATTGTGTGTACATCTGAACCAAACTCAGGTGTCACAAAACCCTCAGATGTCCGAATGCTCCCCAAAATATCCGATTACAGTTGGGAATTCTCAGGGGAAGGAAATGAAATCCAAGCACAATTATCCGGTATTACAGATAATTTTATGTTTAGATAAAACTTTTAATGTAAAAAACATATTAATTGATTTATTCTTAATTTTGAATGAGCTTTTAAGTTGACTGAATACCTAATTCTAATTTCAATTTTTTTTATTATTGGTTTTGGCGATATTTCTAGTGGAAAAAATGTATACCTTTATTCACAGTTCTATATTTCAACTCTGGAATCAATTTAACTCACTATCTGTACATATATCATAATTTTTCCAACTAGAAATATCACTAAAATGGCTTTACACAAGAATTGAAACGGGAGTTCATTCCGTGAACTGAAAGTCTCAAATAGTAGTTTTACTACTTCGACGTTTCCGACTGCTCCAACACTTACTAGACAAACGCTCTAAACTTTCAATTAATTACAAAAGACTTATCTACATAACTATAATAAGACCTATATGGACATACGGAGTTGAGCTTTGGGGCTCCACCAAACCATCGAATTCCTATCGTATCCAATCCTTACAATCCAAAATCCTCCGTAAAATCCTTAATGCTCCATACTTTGTCACAAATAAAACCATTCATAAAGACCTTAATGTACCATATGTCGCTGATTTAGCTCGAGCCAGATATCTATCCTTTATGATAAACTTCAGTCCCATCCAAATCCGCTTGTTTCCACTCTTGCTTCTTCCTCGATCCCTGTTAATC